AGCCCTGAGGACCCAGCCCGAGGGGTCCTGTGCTGGGCAGGGGCTGCCTCACCCCACCCCTCCCCAGGTTCCCTGCGCCTGGTGAACGGCAGCCACCGGTGCGAGGGGCGGGTGGAGCTGTTCTACCTGTCCCAGTGGGGCACGGTGTGTGACGACGCCTGGGACCTGCGGGATGCCAAGGTGGTGTGCAGGCAGCTGGGCTGTGGGCACGCCCTGGCAGCCCCGGGGGAGGCCCATTACGGGCAGGGCACTGGTTACATCTTCCTCGACAACCTCAAGTGCAAGGGCCACGAGCCCTCCCTGCTGCGCTGCTCCCACATCCGCTGGGACGTTCACAACTGTGACCACTCCGAGGATGCTGGGGCTCTCTGCAGCATCCTATGACCACCAGGACCCTCACCCAGGGATGGGGGGGGGGGGGGAGGAGCTGGTGACCACAGTCACAGACCACCTGTCTGCTGGTTGGGGACACTCGCTCTCTGCCTCAGTTTCCCCACTTGCCCCACAGGGGTGTTGACTGGGGCTCCCGTGGGTGTTTGGGTGGGAAGAGCCAGGGGATGACCAGGCTTTTCTGTGCTCCAAAAATACCTGCTGAAGATTTTCCCCTCCTCCTTGGAAAAACAAAACCCTCTTTGGTGTGAAATCTGGCTGGTTTCAGCTGTTTCATTTAAGAGGTGAGGAGACCCAAAAAACCAAATCGATTTTCTGCTGTGAAAATGATGTGAGATTATAATCAGAGAGTGTAAAAAGGGGCAGAAATCACACCAGGATATTCCAGTGGCTCTGCAGGGAGTTGCTGCTGTTGTGCAGTTTGCTTTACAAATCCCCCCAACCCCCCCTTCCCCAGGAATCCCAATAGCAGCTTTTCCTTCCCATTTTGGCAGAAGGAATCCCAAGTCCTCCCCCACTTCCCTGCAGCAGGAAGGCAGGTGTTGGATCTCCCACTGCTTCTGTTCCCATCCTGCTCCATGGCTGCCCAGGATTTCTTCCTCGTGCTCATTTCACCTCCTGTTTCTTCTGGGTTTGCAAAGAGCTCAGCTGAGATTTTCCTCACCCTGGAGGCTTTGGCACAGCCAGTCCCTGCCCAAAAATCCCTTTGGGAAGTGGGGAAGGATCAGGATCCCTGCAACCTCCCTGTGTTCTTCTCCATCCTGTGCAGTCCAGACCAGCTCTGGCTGCTCTTTCCTAGGAGCTCTGGGATGCTCTGAGGTGTCCAGAGCAGTCATGGAGCTTGAAGTCAGGGAAGGAGCAAATGGAAAACCATTGAGAAGACCCTAAATCTCAGCCCAGCATGGTGCTAAACCCAGGATCCCAGTCTCTCCCCAGTGCCACCCCTTTGGGTAAGGGCTGTTTCCCTCCCAACTCAGGTGGAAGGACTCAGCCTGCAGCACCCGCCGCCTTGGCCATCAACCATTCCTGATTCCTGGAACGCTGGGAAAACCACCTCTGTGTGCTGGTGGATGGGGTGCCAGGGTGGGGAAGGGCTGGAGCAGCAGGGCAGAGCAGGGCCTGGCTGCTCCCCCCTCCTCTCCCTCCTCTGTGCAATTCTTTTGTTAATAATAGATTGTGCATATTCCTGGGGTTCCCACCCACCAGCCCTCCCTTCCCTCCCCCGCCCCCCATTCATTTTTCTTACATGTGTTTGGGTTTGTTTTGTGAATAAATAAAAGCCCTTTGGAAGTGTGCTGAGACCTGGCTTGCTCCCCTGTCACCCCCCTGAAGCCTGGGCAGGAGCAAACACCAGGGGAAGAGGAGATGTCTCAAGCCCAGAGGCTCGTGCTGCCAAGAATGGGTACAAATCCCTTGCCAGGCCCCCAGGCTGCCCTTTATTCCCACCCAGCTGGGAGCCAAGCCCAGACCCTTCCCCAGCCCAGCTCCAGGGTTACAACCCTGACCTCTGCCAGGTTTGTAGGGAGGAGGCTGGATCCAGCTCTGGGTTTGTTCCCAGGGGGATTCTGGCTGCTGTTGCTGCCGTGTGGCTGCGCAGGCTCTGCAGGGCTGCCAGCAGCAGATTGGTGCTGTTTGCTGAGGCCAGAGGAGCAGATGGGAAGAGAGACAGACCTGCCTGCTGCTGCCTGCAAGGGGAGGCTGTGACCACAGGGCTGGGAACTGGGACAGAGCTCCCAATTTGGTGAGGTTTTTCCACCCCCCGCTGGCCAGTGGCGCTGGCCTGAGCACTGATGTGGCTGTGAGGTGGCACATCCAGGCCACCAGACCACTGTGGACATTGGGGACATGTCTCCATGCAGCTCCCAGGTCGATGTGGTTCCTCTCAGGTGTCCTCAGCCCCACCTCTCCCAGGGCTTTCCCAGCACTTTGCTTCTAGACCAGATTTCCACCAGTGGGGAAACTGAGGCACGGAAGCATCTTCCAGGCAGGCCATGGCAGATGTTGGCTCTGGAGGCTTTGGTGAGACCCTGGGAGAGGGGAGGGAGGTGGCATGTGAATCAGCCCTCTCCTTTTGGTGACCCTTCCAGGTCCTGCCTGTGCAGCTGCCCACCCCCCTCCCTCCTGCCCCCCTGCTTCTCATCTCACCTCCTGCCTCCAGGACAGCTGGGCAATGCTGGGGTCCTGCTGGGAACAGCAGGGGGACAGGGATGTCCCCAGCAGCCCTGGGCCCCCCCTGCAGCACAAGCCAGCTGGGCATGGGGCAGAGAGTGGGGAGGGTCTGCCAGCTTTGTCCCCTCAGTCCCTGTGGCTATGGGAGGTGGGGCAGGGGGTGGCCAGGAGCTGCACTGGAGGCTGCTGCTGGGATTGCCCTCCTTTCCTTGGGGACTGTGCCTTGAGCTGCCAAATCTGGGTTGGTTTTCATGTCACCCCACCCCCTGCTCCTCTTCACTTCGGGCTGGGATGAGCAGATCCTGCTCTCCCTGGGCTCTCCCACCACCTGCAACCCCACAAACAAAGGGTTTCCAGCCAGGAGACACAGTAACCTCCTCCCTGTCTTCTAGCCTTTTCTCCAGCAGGCAGGGCTTGGGATGTGCTGGGATCCCCACAGACATTCCATGCTCAAGCTGAGTGTCATCTCCATAGGAGCAGGGAGTGACAGGCACGGTGGGAACAGGGTATGAACACAGGGATGTTCTGGAAGGGAATGAGCAGGAGGGTGCTCTGGAGCAGGGTATGAGCACAGAGATGCTATAGAGCAGGGTATGAGCATGGGGGATCCCCCTGGAGCAGGGCAGCAGCTCAGGGATGTTCTGGAGCAGTCCAGCAGGCAGGGCTTGGGATGTGCTGGGATCCCCACAGACATTCCATGCTCAAGCTGAGTGTCATCTCCATAGGAGCAGGGAGTGACAGGCACGGTGGGAACAGGGTATGAACACAGGGATGTTCTGGAAGGGAATGAGCAGGAGGGTGCTCTGGAGCAGGGTATCAGCACAGAGATGCTATAGAGCAGGGTATGAGCATGGGGGATCCCCCTGGAGCAGGGCAGCAGCTCAGGGATGCTCTGGAGCAGGGAATGAGCAGGAGGATGCTCTGGAGCAGGGAATGAGCAGGAGGATGCTCTGGAGCAGGGAATGAGCAGGAGGATGCTCTGGAGCAGGGAATGAGCAGGAGGATGCTCTGGAGCAGGGAATGAGCAGGAGGATGCTCTGGAGCAGGGAATGAGCAGGAGGATGCTCTGGAGCAGGGTACAAGGACAGAGATGCTATGGAGCAGGGTGTGAGCATGGAGATCTCCTGGAGCAGGGCAGCAGCTCAGGGATGTTCTGGAGCAGGGAACGAGCAGGGGGATGCCCCGGGGCAGGGCAGCAGCTCAGGGATGTTCTGGAGCAGGGAACGAGCAGGGGGATGCCCCGGGGCAGGGCAGCAGCAGGGATGCCGGTGGCACGGGGACCTCCCGCCCCCTCCCCTGCCCCCTCAGCTGTTCCCGGAGCAGCTGCGGCTCCACACGGGTCGATCCCATCGATTAGTTCCTCTCACCATCCCCGGAGACGAGAACAGGGCTGGGGGGGAGGCAGCAGGAGGGAGGGAATGAATATTTCAGCAGGCTGAGGCAGAAGTTGGGGTTATTTTTGGGGCTGGGATTGATGGGCTCTTAGGAATAAGGGATGAGTCTGTGCTGGGGAGAGGAGACCCACGAATCCAGGCTGAAGGAGCACAAAGGAGCAAGGGGAACTGGAGGAGGCTCTAATTCTTCTGCCGTGTTTCAGAATAATAAGCTGGCTCTGTGGCTGGGGGGCTGGGGGGGGGGGGGGGGGGGGTTTTTTGGCCACTGAGCCCACTTACAGCCAGGCCAGGCTCCACTGCCCCCCAGACAATGCTCTAGCAGCTTTGCTGGCTGGGGAGGGGTGTGGAGGATGCAGTGCTGGGGTGGGGGGGCTGCAGAGCAGGGGGATGGCTCAGGGGTGGGGAGGTGGGTGTCCTCTGTCCCCTTCCCGGGCTGGCCGTGCCCTGTTAAGGCAATTCCCTCTGTGCCTGTAACCGGAGGAGCTGTAACCTGCACTGGAGGGGTGAGTCAGTGCTGAAGGCAGCCCTGGCCCGGGGAGCATCCCTGGCCCAGAAGTACCCCTGGCTCTGCTGTTCTCAGCACCACCTGGGTGCCCTTGCACTGTGCTCCTCTCCCTGGCTTGCTCTGTGTGTGTGTGTGTGTGTCCCCAGCTCTCCCTGCTGCCTCTGCATGCCTGCGTGCCTCAGTTTCCCTGGGCGAACACAGGCCTGTGGCCCTGGCTCACCCCTTGATGTCCTTGGGGAGCTGCAGGGACCTTCCCCCCCCACCCCTGTGTCCCCCAGCTGGGAGCAAGGGGCACATTCCCCCCCACAGGTGACACGGAGGGACAGATTCACCCCCACCAGGGCAGCCTGGGGGTCCCCAGGTGGCAGCAGGGACGGCGGGCAGGGACCACATCCTCTTCCCAGGGGATGGGCGAGGACCCTCCCCACGGCACCCCTGGGGCACAGCACCCTCAGCAGCGTGGCCCTGGGTGCCAAGGGAGCTGCTCCACACCCCCCAGAAGCCCCCTCCCCC